AGGCCCTGCTCCTCTGATGCTGCTTGGCCTGCTGTGTTCATCCAGCTCTACACCTTGTTATCTCTGATTCTCCAGCATCTGCAGTTCCTACTACCTCCTATATTTAATGCACTGGCCAAAGAAGGCAAGCATACCAAACATCTTGTTCACTACACTGTCTACCTGCGGCTCCACCTTCAAGGATCTATGAACCTACACCCCAAGGTTTCTTTGTTCAGCAACACTCCCCAGGACCCTACCATTAAGTGTATAAGTTCTGCCCTGACTTGTCTTTCCAAAATGCAACACCTCACATTTATCTAAATTAAACTCCACGTGCCACTCCTTGGTCCATCAGCTCATCTGATCAAGGTGCAAAATTAAAATGGACCAGAGGAATTTCCAACTGCTGCAACACATTTGGAAGTTGAACCATCTCTGATTCTTGTTGGTCACTTCCCATTGACAGAACAGACTCACCCTTTAGAATGAAAAGAGGAGCACGAGACACTTCCGAGTGTTTGAGTAGTTGTGCTAATGCCAGATATTTTGTTACATGTGGAATAGAAGATCCGAAGATGCTTCTCCTTATCCTGACAGTGTTATCTCTGCAAACATTTGCTACAAGAGATCCACTTTTACTGGTATTGTGTTAGTTTGGGATCTTCACCTTAATACCGTTCTTAGCCTGTGGGTTCATGACTTTGTCAGACAACTTTAGGCAAACACTACCCGAAGACATCTAAATGCTTAGTCTCAGTCTCTGAAGCAATAGGAACATTTAAGTTGTCTGCAAACACATAATGATCAAGCCAGCACATGACCCCAATTGCTCCTATCTTGCTACTACTGCCTGATTTAAATATAGAACTACAAAACAGTACCCCCAGCAAATCAACTATATCTAATCTACTCTGCTGCAATTTGGCAGCTGGATTAGAGAATATCATTTGTTTTAAAGCAGCTGGGGGATTAACACTCTGCTTGACCTTATGCATGAGGCTGTGTAGGCATTCACAGGCTCGATTTTTCAGAAATAAATTTCAGAAGTGTAATATTAACCCCTCCAGGCAACAGTGTGCAGTCAGGACCTACAAGGAACATCCACCCACTCCCTCACCAGTCATCTTCTTAAAGACAATGAAGCTTCTTTTTTCTGTTCCCTGTTCATCTGTTCGTGTAATTGTAATCCAACCAGTGGAGCAAGGGGGTTAGCTTAGCAACATGCTGTCTGCATGTGGACTGAGAATCAACCACACTTTATAGAAACCAAACTTCAGCAATTTCTATAACAAGCAGCTGATCTGCAACATCTGCTCTTAGTCTGAACGCCAAGACAATAATCATGTACTTTCAGAAAGCACCCTTCGCCTGTGATAATTCTCCGATAACTAACATTTCAGACTTGCCAGGTAACAAACATTTTGTGTTTCCTGTTGCTGAATCTTACTTGTCTGGAATTATTTCTTGGGTTACACTGTAGTAATGCCATATATGCGCTTATTGTCACTCTCAGGTCAACATTTCAGCTTTAGCGCTTCTCTAAGTCACTTTTGAATAAAGATTAAAATTTGACTTTATTTCTGTAAGCCAGTTTTAGGACCATAAGCTCTTGAGGGGAAGAGTCTGGATCAAAATCCTTTGTCAGATTCAATTAGTTGAAGGTTGTCAACCCAAAAACATTCATTTGAGCTCGTCATGTTCCAGATTCTGATGGATTTGCTGTGTATTTCCAGCATTTAATTATTCGCTGTTCAGGCTTGGGGAGTTTAAAAGTTTTTTTTTTAAAACATTGCTTCTTTTTTGATTTCATCAACCAGACTTGTAAGTGGGCCTGATCTGTCTGAAAATAAACTCTATTGTAGAATGATACAGCACAGAAGGAACCCATTTGGCGTATCAAAGTAAATGTCCTCTCTCTACTATGTGCAATGAAGCTGCAAGCATATTCTTTCTAAACAATTTTGCCACGCAGCGTGCAGACAAAACCTTTCCACCAAACATGCAGGTACAGAAAGCTTTGGACACTTAGGTAACAGAATACAGAGACACAGCTATAGACAGACACATACCCACAAGAGATATGGCAAACAAACATAAGCGCATGTGCACTTTTTAAAATATTCTTATCACTCGTGGAACGTGGGCGTCACTGGCTGGGCTAGCATTTATTGCTCGTCCCTAGTTGCCCCTTGAGAAGATGGTGGTGAACTGCCTTCTTGAACTACTGCTGTTCTTGTGCTGTAGATCGAGCCACATGTTTTAGGGAGGGAAATTCAGGATTTTGACTCAGCAACGCTGAAGGAATGGCGAAATATTTCCAAGTCAGGATGGTGAGTGGCTCGGAGGGGAATTTGAAGGTGATGGTGTCCTTCTAGATGGAAGTGGTCATGGGTTTGGAAGGTGCTGTTGAGGATCCTTGGTGAATTTCTGCAGTGCATCTTGTAGATAGTACACACTGCTGCTACTGAGTGTCGGTGGTGGAGGGAGTTGATGCTTGTGGATGTGTTGCAGGCTGCTTTTCCCTCAGATGGTGTCAAACTTCTTGTAACACATCACTTCTGCCGCATTTGTGCATATGTGTTGGTGTGCCTCTCTTGTTGTACAACTCTGCGTGTTTATTGTAGGTAGAAGAGTGCACATGGAATTAGTTAAGGTACATTGAGTTTATGCATACCAGAACATCACACCGATGTATTCTATTGACTTAATTTAAAGTAAAATCAGGGAAGTCACCTCAATCATGCTATCACGTCCCAGATCTAAGAAGCAGTGCATCTCTTTACCAGGGGAGCAGGTGTACAGACACACGTAGAAAACAGAGTAGGCCATTCAGTCTCTTAAATGTGTTCTGCTGTTCAGTGAAATAATGGCTGGTCTGTATCTTAACTGTGCCTATAAGACATTTTAGGGTGGTGTGTGTAAGTACTTTTGAAGGAAAACTTTGGGCTCTTGCATTACGCTAAAAGGTAAAAAATGTTCCTGAACACAAAGAGGGAATAAAACAACCCTTTCATTTACAAGTCTCATACCATAATAAAGGAGGGAAGTGGAAGTTTCACAGCAGATTTTTTAAATTTATCTTCCCATGCAGTGGCTAACCACATTTCAGTTGCCTCGATTTATTAGACAAAGCCTCAGGGGTGGTTGCGGCTGAGACTGTGTGTGCCATCATCACAAGCTAACAGAGATATCACTCAATCTGCGAGGGAAGAGCCAATTGAGGCAAGCTCCCTGCATCAAGGCTGGCACAATGTTCGTGTTTCCAAAATCAAATAACTTCAAAACAAAGATGCATTTCTGCGAGTAGAATTTGAATCTAATAAAAATGTTTGGTGAGCTTACACATTGAATAACGGATGGCCAGGAGTGAGGTACAGGCTGAAATCTAATTTAGAAAATGGTGTAGAAGCTCATTTTGAGTATATTAGTTACATAGTGGTTAGCACTGCTGCCTCACATCACCAAGGAGCTGGGTTTGATTCCAATCTTGGGCATCTGTCTATGTGGAGTTTGCATATTCTCCCTGTCTGCATGGGCTTCTGCCATGTGCTCCAGTTTCATAGAATCCCTACAGCGTGGAAACAGGCCATTTGGCCCAACAAGTCCACACCGCCCCTCCAAAGAGCATTCCCCTACTCCTGTGTTTCCCATGTCTAACCCACCTAACCTGAACATTCCTGGGCACTATGGGCAATGTAGCATGGCCAATCCACCCTAACCTGCACATCTTTGGACTGTGGGAGGAAACCGGAGCACCCAGAGGATGTGCAAACTCCACAGGGACAGTCACCCAAGGGTGGAATCGAACCTGGGTCGCTGGCGCTGTGAGGCAGCAGTGCTAACCACTGAGCCACCGTGCTGCCCCTATACAGTCCTCCCACAGCCCAAAGATGTGCAGGCATGGTGGATTGGCTGTGCTTAAAAATTGTCCATAGTGTCCAGGGATGTGCAGGTCAGGTGGGTTAGCCTTGGTAAAAGCCCCATATGGGGTTATGAACATGGGGTGTGGGTGTGCATGGGATGTTTGCTGAAGGGTCAGTGCAGATTCAACGGGCTGAATGGCAGAGCGGTCTCACGCTGAATGACCTACTCATATCCCTACGTCAGGTTTAATATACAGAATAACGGATATCCTATGGTGACTAACACATTCCAATCTCATCAAATATTCCAATTTGTAATTAATTGATACCTTGGAGTGAGGTACAGACTATAATATAATCAAATGGTTCACATTATATGGTGTACTTTGAGAGTTGCTTGTTATCCATTCCACGTTATTAATACTGCATTTTGAAATCAGTTTATACTATCTTTATTTTGCATTTTACATTCCCTAATACACGGCAAGCTTCCTTGATCTCTTTTCATCTGCAGTGACTTTGCTGTTGAAGAGTTAAGATTGTGATCTTATTCCTGTATTGTTCTCAATATTTATCAAGCCAAATATCTCTATTTACAAGGAGATTCCAAGGACAGTGCTACATTAGAATGAAGCCCTATCAAAATCTCCTGATGAATAGTCCAATGAGGCTACAATTCTGACACCTGATGCTCTGCTGAAAAATTTCTCATGTGGAGGTCCTTTTTTAAAAAAAAACCCACAAATATGAGTCACAAATGTCTAAAACAGCCAGCGGCAAGGACTGTCAATGTATGGGAGAATGCCCGAGTATATCCATTGTGATTGCATTTAAATCAACAAGGTTCTTTGACTAACTCTAAATCATCATATGCAAAACAGTAGAACAAGCAGGATTATATTAACTAGGAATTAGTATCTGAGGTGTGAGCCTTGCATGAAGCAAAGTGATGGGGTTAATCGTCACAAAGTGGTCTCTCGTTTACTCAATAAATAAATGAAGCAGTCATTAAAACTATTTCATCCAATCTGAGAAATTAGAGAAAAATCTGCTGAATGTGACAAATCTAGGATGGATTATGAAGCTACCATATGGTTTTTGAGAGGATCATCAGATAATATTCCCACATTCCTATATGCTAGGTTTGTGAAATTCCAGAAATTGGATAATATTTTCAGATGAGGGGCCACTTTGTGTCAAGAAAGAAAGGAGAGACCCAAAAGTACTGAAGCCACGAGAGCGAACAACAAATATAACAAGGACAGAAACATCAATAATACAAGGAAATAACAGATAAACTCAAAAGATTAAGCAGTGACACCTACACAAGACATTTTGTGCAATTTGTGCTGAACTTTGAAAGGCATCAACTCCCAGAATATTTTGGGCAGTTCCACATGTTCCAGCTGGGGGTATTCCTGGAGATTTTATCACATGACATCCCAGCCACACATGACCCAACCCCCTACACTCCCACCATTGGTCCATCTTGCAGGCATTACTTTTCTACAATAGGAAAGAGAACAAACACTTTGCTGGCCAATTGGATTAATCTTCACCATTTGTGAAACAGCCTTTCATTCCCCATGTCCAATAATTAATGAAATCGTTGACACAAACTAGAGAAAAACTCAGATTTTTGTTCAATGCTCCTTTGGTTTTTCACCTGAGTTGTATCTAAAAGTGATCCCGAGATTAATCTATAAGTTTTTGCAGCCTCCAGGACAAACATGGAGGAGGCTCAACACAAGAACCCCATCCCCTGTATGAATGGAAAGCCATTGGAACAGGGATCAATTGTAAACACAGTTTTTGGATTGGCAATTTTCAGTTCATAAGGCATTTTTGCATACCTGAAGAGGTTAGGAATATAGGGGACTTATAGCTTTCATTTATATCTACCTCCACTGAACCCTCAACAGTCCTACTCAACACTGGCCAAAGCTACCGACTCTGTGTCGGGTGTTAAAAGCACTGAGAACACTTTGGTGCCTCTCCCCACATGACTGGTATTCACATGCAAGCTGAGGCATGGAATGCTGGTAGGACTGTCACTCATTGTGGGCCTCACATTCTGTCTCAATCTCACCCTTGCACAAAATCTACAAGTGACTTCTCAGAGAGTAGTTTCAGAGAGAGCACTACATCACCTTGAAGGCGTGCTTGCGGGTGATGTTGTCTGAAGGTTGAACAGGGGTTATCCAGAAGCTGAACAATGGGATGCTCGCCAGAACTGCCTCCTCTTTCTCATCTGGATTCAAAGAAAAAGTTCGCTGTTACTGAATTATCTTTCCTGGTACAAAGATCTCACCACTCTTTCGCATGTACTGCTCTGCGTTATGAGGAAGGAGAGGCTGTGCTTACACAAAAACAGACTGTCATTGGCCCTCCTGCCCCATCTGATCACTAGTGAATGAATGGCTTCGTATGGTGAGAAAATGCAGCCATTCATACACTAAGCCCAACAAATCCTTGGGGTTCCTCCGGCCCTGATTACCATTGTTTGCTAAGTATACCCCCACTCTCCTCCCAGCTACTCATTCCAATATTCACCTCATGTCAGTGACCTCTCCCTCAGCTATCCTGGCAGTGTTATCCTCTACTGTCCAGTTTTGGGAGTTTGTTACTTAAATAAAGCTTGACCGTTAAAATAACACATTTCGAATTTTAATCACTCCAC